TAGTTGAAATTGATCCGCCCACTGTAGTTGACTTTGATCCGGCCACTGTAGTTGAAATTGATCCGTCCACTGTAGTTGACGTTGATCCGGCCACTGTAGTTGACGTTGATCCGCCCACTGTAGTTCACGTTGATCCGACCACTGTAGTTGAAATTGATCCGTCCACTGTAGTTGACGTAAATCCGGCCACTGTAGTTGACGTTGATCCGACCACTATAGTTGACGTTGAGCCGCTCACTGTAGTTGAAATTGATCCGCCCACTGTAGTTGACTTTGATCCGGCCACTGTAGTTGAAATTGATCCGTCCACTGTAGTTGACGTTGATCCGGCCACTGTAGTTGACGTTGATCCGCCCACTGTAGTTCACGTTGATCCGACCACTGTAGTTGACGTAAATCCGGCCACTGTAGTTGACGTTGATCCGACCACTATAGTTGACGTTGAGCCGCTCACTGTAGTTGAAATTGATCCGCCCACTGTAGTTGACTTTGATCCGGCCACTGTAGTTGAAATTGATGCGTCCACTGTAGTTGACGTTGATCCGCCCACTGTAGTAGACGTTGATCCGCCCACTGTAGTTCACGTAGATCCGGCCACTGTAGTTGACTTTGATCCGGCCACTGTAGTTGACGTTGATCCGCCCACCGTAGTTCACGTAGATCCGCCCACTGTAGTAGACGTTGATCCGCCCACTGTAGTTGACGTTGATCCGGCCACTGTAGTTGACTTTGATCCGCCCACTGTAGTTCTTGTAGATCCGCCCACTGTAGTTGACGTTGATCCACCCACTGTAGTTGACGTTGATCCGGCAACTTTAGTTGACTTTCATCAGCCCACTGTAGTTGACGTTGATCCGCCCACTGAAGTTGGCGTTGATCAGCCCGTTATAGTTGACGTTGATCCGCCCACTGTAGTTGACGTTGATCCGCCCACTGTAGTTGACGTTGAACCACCCACTGTAGTTGAAACTGATCCGCCCACTGTAGTTGACTTTGATCCGGCCGCTGTAGTTGACTTGATCCGTCCACTGTAGTTGACGTTGATCCGCCCACTGTAGTTGACGTTGATCCGGCCACTGTAGTTGACGTTGATCCGCCCACTGTAGTTCACGTTGATCCGACCACTGTAGTTGAAATTGATCCGTCCACTGTAGTTGACGTAAATCCGGCCACTGTAGTTGACGTTGATCCGACCACTATAGTTGACGTTGAGCCGCTCACTGTAGTTGAAATTGATCCGCCCACTGTAGTTGACTTTGATCCGGCCACTGTAGTTGAAATTGATCCGTCCACTGTAGTTGACGTTGATCCGCCCACTGTAGTAGACGTTGATCCGCCCACTGTAGTTCACGTAGATCCGGCCACTGTAGTTGACTTTGATCCGGCCACTGTAGTTGACGTTGATCCGCCCACCGTAGTTCACGTAGATCCGCCCACTGTAGTAGACGTTGATCCGCCCACTGTAGTTGACGTTGATCCGGCCACTGTAGTTGACTTTGATCCGCCCACTGTAGTTCTTGTAGATCCGCCCACTGTAGTTGACGTTGATCCACCCACTGTAGTTGACGTTGATCCGGCAACTTTAGTTGACTTTCATCAGCCCACTGTAGTTGACGTTGATCCGTCCACTGAAGTTGGCGTTGATCAGCCCGTTATAGTTGACGTTGATCCGCCCACTGTAGTTGACGTTGATCCGCCCACTGTAGTTGACGTTGAACCACCCACTGTAGTTGAAATTGATCCGCCCACTGTAGTTGACTTTGATCCGGCCGCTGTAGTTGACTTGATCCGTCCACTGTAGTTGACGTTGATCCGCCCACTGTAGTTGACGTTGATCCGCCCATTGTAGTTCATGAAGATCCGCCCACTGTAGTTGACGTTGATCCGCCCACTGTAGTAGACGTTGATCCGCCCACTGTAGTTCACGTAGATCCGCCCACTGTAGTTGACGTTGATCCGCCCACTGTAGTTGACGTTGATCCGCCCACTGTAGCTGACGTTCATCCGGCCACTGTAGTTCACATAGATCCGGCCACTGTAGTTGACGTTGATCCGACGACTGTAGTTCACGTAGATTCGGCCGCTGTAGTTGACGTTGATCCGCCCACTGTAGTTGACGTTGATCCGTCCACTTTAGTTGACGTTGATCCGCCCATTGTAGTTGACGTTGATCCGCCCACTGTAGTTGACGTTGATCCGGCCACTGTAGTTGACTTTGATCCGTCCACTGTAGTTGACTTTGATCCGGCCACTGTAGTAGACGTTGATCCGCCCACTGTATTTGACGTTGATCCACCCACTGTAGTTGACGTTGATCCGCCCACTGTAGTTGACGTTGGTCCGCCCACTGTACTTGACGTAGATCCGCCCACTGTAGTTGACGTTGATCCGCCCACTGTAGTTGACGTTGATCCACCCACTGTGGTTGACGTAAACCCGGCCACTGTAGTAGACGTTGATCCGCCAACTGTAGTTGACGTTGGTCCGGCCAGTGTACTTGACGTAGATCCGGCCACTGTAGTTGACGTTGATCCGCCCACTGTAGTTGACGTTGATCCGCCCACTGTAGTTGACGTAGATCCGCCCACTGTAGTAGACGTTGATCCACCCACTGTAGTTGACTTTGATCCGGCCTCTGTAGTTGACGTTGATCCGTCCACTGTAGTTGACGTTGATCCGACAACGGTAGTTGACGTTGATCCGACCACTGTAGTTGAAATTGATCCGTCCACTGTAGTTGACGTAGATCCGGCCACTGTAGTTGACGTAGATCCGACCACTATAGTTGACGTTGAGCCGCCCACTGTAGTTGAAATTGATCCGCCCACTGTAGTTGACTTTGATCCGGCCACTGTAGTTGAAATTGATCCGGCCACTGTAGTTGACGTTGATCCGGCCACTGTAGTTGACGTTGATCCGCCCACTGTAGTTCACGTTGATCCGACCACTGTAGTTGAAATTGATCCGTCCACTGTAGTTGACGTAAATCCGGCCACTGTAGTTGACGTTGATCCGACCACTATAGTTGACGTTGAGCCGCTCACTGTAGTTGAAATTGATCCGCCCACTGTAGTTGACTTTGATCCGGCCACTGTAGTTGAAATTGATGCGTCCACTGTAGTTGACGTTGATCCGCCCACTGTAGTAGACGTTGATCCGCCCACTGTAGTTCACGTAGATCCGGCCACTGTGGTTGACTCTGATCCGGCCACTGTAGTTGACGTTGATCCGCCCACCGTAGTTCACGTAGATCCGCCCACTGTAGTAGACGTTGATCCGCCCACTGTAGTTGACGTTGATCCAGCCACTGTAGTTGACTTTGATCCGCCCACTGTAGTTCTTGTAGATCCGCCTGCTGTAGTTGACGTTGATCCGGCAACTTTAGTTGACTTTAATCAGCCCACTGTAGTTGACGTTGATCCGCCCACTGAAGTTGGCGTTGATCAGCCCGTTATAGTTGACGTTGATCCGCCCACTGTAGTTGACGTTGATCCGCCCACTGTAGTTGACGTTGAACCACCCACTGTAGTTGAAATTGATCCGCCCACTGTAGTTGACTTTGATCCGGCCGCTGTAGTTGACTTGATCCGTCCACTGTAGTTGACTTTGATCCGCCCACTGTAGTTGACGTTGATCCGCCCATTGTAGTTCATGAAGATCCGCCCACTGTAGTTGACGTTGATCCGCCCACTGTAGTAGACGTTGATCCGCCCACTGTAGTAGACGTAGATCCGCCCACTGTAGTTGACGTTGATCCGGCCACTGTAGTTGACCTTAATCCGCCCACTGTAGTTGACGTTGATCCGCCCACTGTAGTTGAAATTGATCCGTCCACTGTAGTTGACGTTGATCCGGCCACTGTAGTTCACATGGATCCGGCCGCTGTAGTTGACGTTGATCCGCCCACTGTAGTTGAAATTGATCCGTCCACTGTAATTGACGTTGATCCGGCCACTGTAGTTCACATGGATCCGGCCGCTGTAGTTGACGTTGATCAGCCCACTGTAGTAGACGTTGATCCGCCCACTGTAGTTGACGTTGATCCACCAGCTGTAGTTGACGTTCATCCGTCCACTTTAGTTGACGTTCATCCGCCCACTGTAGTTGACGTTGTTCCGCCCTCTGAAGTTGACGTTGATCAGCCCGTTATAGTTGACGTTGATCCGTCCACTGTAGTTGACGTTGATCCGGCCACTGTAGTTGACGTAGATCCGCCCGATGTAGTTGACGTTGATCCGCCCACTGTAGTTGACTTGATCCGTCCACTGTAGTTGACGTTGATCCGCCCACTGTAGTTGACGTTGATCCGACCACTGTAGTTGACATTGATCCGACCACTGTAGTTGACGTAGATCCGCCCACTGTAGTTGAAATTGATCCGCCCACTGTGGTTGACTTTGATCCGCCCACTGTAGTTGACGTTGATCCGTCCACTGTAGTTGACGTTGATCCGCCCATTGTAGTTGACGTTGATCCGGCCACTGTAGTAGACGTTGATCCGCCCGCTGTAGTTCACGTAGATCAGGCCACTGTAGTTGACTTTGATCCGGCCACTGTAGTTGACGTTGAGCCGCCCACTGTAGTTCACGTAGATCCGCCCTCTGTAGTAGACGTTGATCCGCCCACTGTAGTTGACGTTGATCCGCCCACTGTAGTTGACTTTGATCCGTCCACTGTAGTTCTTGTAGATCCGCCCACTGTAGTTGACGTTGATCCGCCCACTGTAGTTGAAATTGATCCGTCCACTGTAGTTGACGTTGATCCGGCCACTGCAGTCGACGTAGGTCCGCACACTGTAGTTGACTTGATCCGTCCACTGTAGTTGACGTTGATCCGACCACTGTAGTTAACGTTGATCCGACCTCTGTAGTTGAAATTGATCCGCCCACTGTAGTTGACTTTGATCCGCCCACTGTAGTTGACGTTGATCCGGCCACTGTAGTTGACGTTGATCCGCCCACTGTAGTTGACGTTGATCTGTCCACTGTAGTTGACGTTGATCAGGCCCGTAGCATCTAAATAGCAACGCTGCTCTGGAGTTCAGATAAATGAGTCATGTTTTCCGTCCCATTTCAATGTCCAGGGTAAAATGCTTGATTAGTTTTAAAAGATGGCCAAGGGGGAAATGTATGCAATTTCATGTGATTTGCGTTGCACGTGCAAAAACGAGACAGAATGAAGTTTTATAAAGGATCAATGTCAACAGTGAACTGTGATTCTACACTTAAAAACCAACATGACTTGCGTTTCTTATGCCGTTAAGTATATGTAGTGAACACAGTGTGAGAATGAGTGTTATCTCTTATTAAAGAGATACAATACTCCCATGTGTGTCTGTTTAACGAGGCCGGTAAGTAATCGAGTATTGACCAGACGATCCAGTGATTGATATTATTCTCGCCGTCTGAGTACGATAACACGGAATAAAAACTTGAACATTAGCTTGAGTGAGCGAGTGTGGTTTTACGCCGCTTTAAGCAATATTCCAGAAATATCATGGCGGGGACACTAACTTTAAATCCATCAATGACACAACACTTTATCTACGGGGTTACCCACCGAGCCGTTGTTATGAGAAAACCTCTAGGGTTACCGACAAAAGTCGGGGCGTCTTGTCGCCCACCACAGGGACTTTGGCGTAAGTCGGATCCGAGTTCTGGACATACTCGGAATTGGGCTGCAGCTTCCTGTAGGGTTACAACCACCGCAGTTGTTGTACCACCAGCCCGACTGATGTATTTGTGCGCAGTTCCCACCAGCGTTGAGGTCGTTGTCGCGGTCGATGGTGGTGAACATCATGTCTCCCTGCTGTTTCATGCAGTTGCCGAGTTGGTGATTGGCACTGCTGTGGGTATAGGCGCTCTCATATGAAGCCCTGTAACTACTCGCTTCGTCAGATATCTGGAAAATAATCAGAGCTTTTGTACCATGCGTGAGTTTCTTCGAAAATTAATGAATTTCCATCATATCTCCGTTTGTCATACAGAAGGAAAATTCAAAGTGGTGAAGATTTCTGTCCTTTACCACTTTGGGGGAAGCCTAAAGCACCGAGGAACATTATCAAAGCAAACCAGGAATCAGCCCACGATTATATAGGTTTGTGGCATTCCGAAGAAACGAAACTCTGCATATCGATTGGCGGCGCCTTTGTCAATGCAGGTACCCGTGGCCGTGTCCCTTTCCAAACCAAGAACTTGATGAACATACATAAGCCTATTAAGAAATGGTTTATGATGGGTTTAAAATAATTATTGCCTTACCATGAAAACAGACTGAAATTTCTTCTTATTGACAGAGTAAAGTATCGAGGCAAATGTGTTTTCCGAATGTATTTCTGTTTTTGTTGCTGTTTTTTAATTGTTTTTAAGGCCGCAATATTGTTATATAGCAATATTCAAGTTTTATAACAGCGGTCTCTAAGTTAGGTTAGTCTACAATGTCACAAGCACTGTTTGTTTGTTTGTTTGTTTGTTAGATGTTTAAAGCCGCCCTCAGCAGTATTCCAGAAATATGACGGCGGTCTGTAAATAATCGAGTCTGAACTTGACAATCCAGTGATTGACATGAGCACCGATCTACGTACGCAATGGAGATACGTCTAACCAAGTCAGCGAGTCTGACCATCCGATCCCATTAGTTGCCTTTCACGATTTTATGTCGCTGAAGATAAAACCATTTGAATCTAGTTCGATAAGTTATTTGACACATATAACACGAGGATAACTGCTCATTAACGTACAAACACACCCACCAGTGAAAACATGGCTGGAATCACCATGGGAACAACATTTTTCTTTAGAAATAATTTGCAGCTTATTGACATTTGGTGTTGGAAGAACTCCAATAACGGTCAATACCCTTCCACTGACTTACTACACTGAATTATACATAAATAGTTATAGGTCAATGCGCGTGAAGATCCGGGTTAGAATTGATCTTCAGTAACCCATGATTGTCGTAAGAGGCGACTAACGGGATCGGGTGGTCAGGTTTGCTGACTTGGTTGTCACATGTCATCGTATCCCAACTGCGAGGGTCGATGCTCATGCTGTCGATCACTGGATTGTCTGGTCCGTACTCGATTATTAACAGACCGTCGCCATATAGCTGGAATATTGCTGAGTGCGCCGTTAAACATCAAAAGAAAGAAAGAAAGAAAAGAACTGCATCATATCTAGATCTATGCATTGATTGACAAAAAACTCGCCACAAAACTGTCTCCAGTTACCCTTTCATCAAGTATTATTTCACCAACTCCAGGATTTGATGTTTACATTTCACAACAATTAACGTTTTCCTGACTCTAATCTCTCTCTACAAACATTTCAAAGAACGTCAAACGTTGTTTGATGACGGTTCCGACATTCAAATCAAACAAATGAATTTGAAGCATTTGAACAAGGATGGATTCTGGGGTAGAAATGGCCTTAGACAACGACTGGTTGAACTAGGTGAGTAAATGGATCGGAGGTCAATGGCGGCTTTGAACGTTTCTCACACTGCCACAGTTTATGGGGGGTATATGCTCGTGGTGTTACAGCGCTCGCTTGTCACGCCGAAAACCCAGGTTCGATTCTCCACATGGGTGCAATGTGTGAAGCCCATTTCTGGTATCCCCCGCCGTAATATTGCTGGAATACTGCTAAACCGGCGTAAAACTAAACTCACTCACACATACTACCAGTTTGTGTGGACCGCGTTTGATTTATTTATGCCGTCTTATATAAGGAAAATGAATTAATGTAACACGGCACAAACGCAACGCCTTCTTACTGATTACCTTAAACGAACTGTAGTAATGTTGTCTGAAATTCCAGCTGTTCCCATAGACTATCTGGATATTTAAGGTCATATTCCGATAGTTTGACACAAAGTATAGTCTCTCATTGCCAAGCCAGAAGTTTTCGCCCGCCTCCAGATTCCCAAAGCCTGCCTTGTACTCGTCCCAAGTGCGGTTGAAGTCTTCAGAACTATACCACGTCGCCGTTCTCATAACGATGAGAATGCCACCCCGTTGCATTTCACAAAACACCTTGAATTTCGAGGGTGAGGTTGTGGGGTGGACATAAAATGCCTTCTCCTCCCCATCGTAATGCCCAGATTGATAGCCATCGTAACAATCTGAAATAGTAATTTGAAGCATATAAATTTATTTCACATTATATTTCCTTACATCGTTGTACAAACCTCTGACGTTACGGCGTTGTAAATCAAATATGGATCAGTTGTCTAACTATTAACACTGTGATCAGCAAAAGCATTAATTCCTGAACGAGTGGTTGATAATGTGAACATCCAGGTCGAGACGCCATAGTATATAATTAGCGAGTCTGACCAGTCTAAGCCGTTACTCGCCTGTTACGAAAAACATTGGTCGGTGAACACCAATTCTATCCCGATCTCCATAATGGGTCTCACTCACCGTACATAAGCCTCTCACAGTACTCTCCCACGTAACTGTTGAAACAGCGACACTTCTGTGTGGCCTTGTCATAGATCCCTCCATTGAGACAGGGGTTGTCCTGAACAAAATATGATACACTTGAGAGACATAACTTTGCAGTTTAGAAATGCCTCAGATCAACGTTCTGGCAGGACATTTGAAATTTGCGTTTTTCACGTTAAATATTCGAACGTTGGGACTGATAACTTACAATAAACACTGAGTTAGTAGTGGGGAAGACTAAAGAATTCAATTTGAAACTATTACATTCTCTTCGAAAAAAATTGGGAACTTCATTTTTATCTTACGATTGAAAAAAATGGGAGATATATAGGAGTCAGTCAATGTTGATATGATAATAATGAATGTTTTGAGAGTGCATCGCCACTTGCACTTCCTTATGACCATAGTTGTTCGTAAAGTAATAATTGTTACAGGTCATTTCAAAGTTTACTTCAGACTGAAATATATTTGTCTATTTTATATTCTAAAGATTTAAGAAATATTTTTATCAAATTTAGACTTGGTTTGTTAGATTTAATGATTAACGAAGGCAGGAAAATCTCCATAGATAAGTACAGGAGAATTTGTCCGTTATGTATATCCGCAGTTGAGAATGAAATCCACTTTATGCTGGTTTGTCCATCCTACTCCATTCTCAGAAGCAAATACATTCCACGTCCGTTTTTGTCAAAACCACCTGCTCTAGCTTTTACATCCTTGATGTCTTCTTAAAAGGATAATGATATTCTTACATCACTATTTATCAAACATAGTATGACACTAAGAAATGTTAAACAATTTAAAACGCTATTTGACAATAGGCTGTCATTTTGTTCTCTCCATTATGTGTATTGTATATTATCTGTATATTGTATATTTTACAAATGTATAATATGTGGGCCGGAGACCTTAAATACGATAAACTCCTTTGACCACATTGTGTCTAATGAGCATATTAGTCACTAGAAAAACATTTGAAGATCTACCTTTTTGGACCTATCTGTGCTCAAACCTCATTTCATAGTGGTTCATAATTTGTTTTTCTGTTTATACAATGTGATGTTACGAAACAGATTGTTTGGATTTTTGTTTTACTGATATTCCAAATGAGTGGGATGTTTCAGGGTGTGTGTCGTGTATCGGGGACCAATAAATGCATCAAATACGTTGTTTAATAATATGTTTAAAAGGATGTAATAGGTTTGAAGGTTATATAATCTGTATACATGTGTAGTAAATACATTAAGTGGCCTGTAAATACATTATCCAAAGACATGGTACCTCATAGTCAATACACTTTATTGTAAGTGTTCACGAAACTCTTTACTGGTATACTTTTTACATACTTTCTCTTGAAATAGGAAATTAAAATAGGTCATTACACTACATAATATGTAACTTACCTGTATCATGTTGTAGTGCGCATGCGTCACAGACGAACACCCGGTGTCGACCAGGATGTCGTTATTCAGGTAACACATCCTCGGCACGATTCTACTAATGCTGAATGATTTACAATTTTCCGTAACCACACAAATCGAGGCACAGCCTATCTTAGATTTCACCTGTTTTGTTTGAATAATCACGCTTGGTGCCACCGAACATATGCCCACTTTTTCAAAAAAGTTGGAAGTGATGTCCTCTTGTCCGCAGACAGCTAAAAAATGAAGCACAATTAGGAGAAACATAACGGAAGAAGGTTTCTCCTTGCAGCCCACCAGCAGGTTCACGTACCACTGTCTTCAGTCGTTGTTGGGATGTATCTTTTCTGAAACCGTTCCTGTCAATGCTTTCACGCGACTCGATAATCCCATCAAGAAACCATTACCCGTGTATAACTGAATCAATATTGCTATTATCCAGGCATGCGCAGGTTTAGGGGTTGTATAATACAGATAAAATCACTCTGCAATGGCTGTAGGCTATATGTAGTGATAGCAACTGTAGCATGCGATATTCATAGGTAGGAACTGTAAATTCATTTTGATCAATTATATTGAACTAACTGGATATTTTTAGGCTTCCAGAGACGGAATTGATCATGGAATACGCCGTGAATTATTTACCAATTGTACCATTTCGTTTTAATTAAACAAACCTGTAATATTTTTTTAAACGAAACACATGTGTTCAGTTTCATGGTTATTTTCAATATTGATTAGTAGTTGTTTCAAAACTTTTATGTATGACATTATTTAGACCAAATGTAAACGCCATCTATACACACATAGAACAGGTTAAGGAATATGCAATTGAAAGGCTTTGTGTTGCTGTAACTTCAGCTACAACGGGTGGTATATACTGATACAAGTCCGGGGTTCTTTATCGTGCTCTCGTCACGATATGGCTGAAATATTGCCGATGTGACGTTAAATAATAACTCACTCACTCACTTTATCCTGCTCAACGTACATGAAACATCGAAACTGGTATTTATAATGCATGAGTCCACCTCATTCATAACCAAGTATTAAAACTTATCGATTAGTTAAACCATTTACCAACCAGTCTCAAGCATTAAGTATCATGGTTGTTTGCCATTGAAGAAAGTAATATCATCACCGTACTATCAGAAATACAAATAAAATCAGGTCACTAAGACTGGTGCAGATAAGAATAATCAAAATGGGCGCGGTGGGCGAGCTGTCTAAGGCGCCAGGCTAGTGATCCAGCGGGCATGAGGTGCTGGGATCGAGCCCACCTGTGACCGGGTGTAAAAACCTTGGAGTCAACTTTGTGTGGAGACACTCTCAGTGTTGTCACAACCCCTAGTGAACAGTACACAAACCTGTGCAGCTTTGAGCAGCTGGGCTGGATATTGGCGCTATACAAATGTTAGTATAATAGTACTATAATATACTGAACAGCAAAAGAAACGCAAGTCTGGCTTTTTGTCAATTTGTTTTAATAGAAGACAGTCCAAATTATGTCTAATCATTTATTCTATAGAAAACACTGTCAATGTAACAGCTAAAAGTTGCTGTTGACATTGAATTGCAATAAGTTCAAATTGATCACAGTCCGTCAAATGGAGATACCCCTGAACGCGAAAAGTGACAGTCTCTTTAGTAGCGCGTATAGCCACCTTGAGCTTGCACACAGGCCGTGCAATGTGGCCTCATTGAGTTCACTAGACTCTGAAAGAAGGCCTGAGGCAACTGGTTCCTCTCAAACACTAATCTCTATTCCAACTGTGCAAGTGTGAGTGGCTGTCTACCTGCAGCAATCCTCCGTCCAATTTCGTCCCAGAATGTTCAATGGGAGCCATATCCGGGGAAGGAGACGTTAATGTTGTTTTGAGCCAGATAATCCATCGACACCCTTGCTGTGTGAGGTCTGCAAACGTCGCTGGCGTTGTTGACGTGCCAAAATTGGCCCCACATATGGCCTTCGGCAGTGGATTCCAGCAGCCCGAAGACGACGCCTAATCGTATCGCTTGGCACTGCTCCCCTTGACCCAAGAACAAAGGCTGCTGTTACTGCTGCTGCTTGAGTTCGGTTCCTTAGATGAGTGACCCGGATGAACCGATCTTGTGCATGAGTTGTCACCCGTTGCCGTCCGGTACGGGGACGAACAGCAGGAACCCCGGTTTGCTGATGACGTTGAGCAAGTCGTGTAATGGTGGTCAGATGACAGCCCAATTGTCTAGCTCAGAGTTACGCCCCTGGGGCACGCCAGGAACCTGTGATTGTTTGTTGGAATCCCGCCTGGAAGTTAGTGTGCTGGCGATTAAGTGCCTGACTCTGAGGGTGTGGGTTCGAATCCCGGATGGGACTCAACCCCCAAAAAGTACTAGAATCTGTACTTAACTGAGAAAGTGTAATCCCAAATATAACATATGTTACATTTGACCACTTTCTAAAATGTCATTATGTATTTCACCGGGAAGTTAGTTTTCTAAATATCTTACCCGTGCTGATGGGTTTTGTTAAAGTGGTATACTTCTGAGGTATGCATCATTTAAGACTTTCCTTACAAGCTGTGACAGATGGAATATCGTTCAGAGCAACGTTAAACTCAACTCACAAATACTTTGCAGTAATAAATGATTTACATATCAAAAACAAGTTCACCAATACAAGTAGTCAGGGTCCCGATCCACAAAACGTTCGTAGCGCTACGATATTCTTAAGCCCATGATAAACTATAGAGTTACGACAGGTCGTAAAGTTACGAACGCTTTGTGGATCTGGATCTTGACTACTTGACTGTGTTGGTGAACTTATGTACTGCATATCCACTAAGAATCCCTATTAGATAAGTGTTCAGGTCCAGAAAGGATAATGACTCTTGACGCTGAATTATATATTCCGCCATTGATTCAACTGAAAATCTGCAAACCGAAGGAATCGATATGCCTCTGAATTGTGGAAACAGATTAATATTGATGTGTTGTTTTGAGTGGATTTCGATTTCAGATTTACATAGCTGTAAAGTATTTGCAACTAATGGTGGCAGTTTGATGAATTAATCATGAAACTAATGTGAACTTGATTACAGCCATAAACAGTGCTGTAATTTCCATTGTACAGTTGTCACACAAGTAGGAGCTATTCGAAAATATATTTTAACAAGTTTGAGAGATATTGATTTCTAGTAATTGTTGTATGCTATGAATGAACGAATTGGGATCATCTTACAATCGATAGTGAAGTATGACGAAAGATGTAATGCCCTCCATCAGTCTCGAATGACGATAGGGTAAGGTGGGAAATGTAAGGGTTGACGTTTTGTATCAGTTTTGTGTAATATCGTCACAGTTTGTGAAACATTCATGCATATTCGCATACTGTTCCATTCCTCCAACATGGTTGGAACTTGTCTCTCAAGATGTGTTCAATGATATAGAGGTCTGGATTCATTGCTGGCCTTGGCGTTCTATGGATCACGAGGAGCAATCGTGCACGGTGACCACCGGCCTTATCTTACCTCACATATAAATGTCGTTTTTTGATTGGCTGAGCGATCTTCTATCATTTTCACTTCCATTCGTAACTATTCGCCTCTTTCCGTGACCTACAAGAAGACTCGTACCCCTATCGTACGCCATTATTGCCAAGAATCGTAGCCAACGAATCAAATTGCGCGTAGTAAAACGCATTCCGAAGCATGAAAATGGCGGCACCGTTGAACTTTGAAACTTCGCTAACTATGCAAAGCACAATTTAAACATAAACTCTGAGCTAAAGGATCAGCAACTTTCAACACTGAAACATACTTACAAAGAGAATGACTGTATAGTTGTTTTGTCCACGGGATATAGCTATATGATATTCTTGGAGTAGCCATGTTTGGAAATTTAGATGTATCTTTCCTTGGTACAAGTACTAGACTATTTTCATCTCCGTGCCCGTTTGTGCTTAGACAGGGCCTAGTCGTAAACATGGCCACGAGAGGGGTACGAGACGCCATCCGGAATGACGCGAGTAGTTACGAATGTTTCACTTCATGTTAGTAAATCTTTATCTCGTATTATTGAGCCACGTATGATGTACGTTGCGAATGCAAATCGATGGAAGGGATATAACGCTAAATTTGTTTTTCATGTCGTCTGCAAGAATCTATATCATCTGAAAAATCTAGTAATGGCTAATTGCCTAACTCTGGTACTCCTTTTTATGATACGATACGCGTGCTTCAAACAGTTCAAAATTAACATTGAGGTGTTCGGTAAGATAAATACGTTGTTCACTGGTCTCTCGGGACTCATGGGTTAATGTACACTCTATGTTTGTTTATGTTCCCCTCACCCTTCAGGCTCGGGGAACAAACAGACATAGAGGATACATCAACCTATGGGTCCAGAGGGACCAACGAACAACTTATACCGTGCTCGTGAAAGACAAAACATCCACCCACATGCCATGTAAACGGGACATCGAAAGTTGTCAGCAAGGTGTTCTGATACTACTGTCCAATAACCTTCCATGCACAATATTTATAGAGTGGGGTTCAATAACTTGTCAAGCTATAGACTTTATCAATTAACACCACCCTATCAGCTTATCGACTTCATGGTCCCTGGTATTTGTTGTTCTTACTCCACCCTTTGCTATTCAACTACATACTGTTGTTAACGTTAATCTAATGTTTTTCACAACATACTCGTAAATAAACTTCTAAATACTTGGCTGCAATCTCTTTTGCCTTGAAAACGGTGTTAAAATCTACACCGAAACATCGTATGTTTCGTTATTGACCCAACAACTTCTAGAATGCAGATCAAACAATAAGCAGAGGTGTGTCGTGATATGTCGTTGTGGGCACCTTTGTTCCCCTTGATTGATTATCCACTGTGTCGTGTTAATAAACTGAGTTAACCACACCCCTTTGACTTTGCATGTCTAGCTATTTTACCCTAGTTTCCTTGTATAGGGAAATGTTACCGTGACATACTGACATCTGTTGCCAGTAGGACGTTAGCAAGACGAACATGCAATTGTCAGACCCGTAATTCCTACTCCAGAAGCCTGATGAAAGTTTCTGGTAATTTGCTTCGCTGTTTGATCCTGATTCAATCGATCCTGGTTCCGGATCAATCGTTTATTGTGCTGTGGTCGTTAATCGTGTACGTTCTGAACGTGTTCGATTATCAAAATTTGGGCTCTGTTGGGTTCCAACAGACCGCACTGCCTGTTCAGACACAAACATTGAAATCTAACAAATCCCCCCTGTATGAAAGTGTGTAGAAGGTCCATACAAATGACAGAAACATGGGTCAACAGAGATAAGGACTCTCCATTAGAG